ATGAATGAATGAATGAATGAATGAATGAATGAATGAATGAATGAATGAATGAATGAATGTCCCAATAATTGCAATAATAAATGCAGGAAAAATTACAAGAGCAATTTTCTTTATTTTAGCTAGACCCTAAAGAGCAGGGAAAAAAGAGAGCACTTAGCCTGACTTATTGGGTGTGTCTAGTTTAATGAAAAGAAGGACTAAGGTTATTATGATAGTACTGTTCTAATATCTAAAGGGCTGTCAGGAAGAAGAAGGGGTCAACCTATTCTCCAAAGCACAAGATGGTAGGAAAAGGAGGAATGATGGAAACTAATCAAGGAGAGAAGCAACTTAGAACTAAGGAGGAATTTCCTGACAGTTGAGAACAATTAATCAATGGAATAGCTTCCCTCCAGAAGTTGTGGGTGCTCCATCACTGGAGTATTTTTAAAAAGAGACTGGACAACCACTTGTCAGGAATGCCATAGGGTCTTCTGCTTGAGCAGGGTTGAACTACAAGACCTCCAAGGTCCCTTCCAACTCTATAATTCTGTTATGTATTCACCATGGAATCTAATTTTGATTTTGAGTCACTTAAATCTTAGGTGAGATTTGTGAGAATTAACACTAAAAATGCTCTTGGTTATCCTTAATCAATTGGTAAATCTCTTCATCAATTAAAAAGAACAGGTCAAGTCCCCTAGACTCACCTGTGGAATCTTGTAAAAATCTACCATGTCTGCTATATGGGATGAAGTATCTGATCCAAGTCCTCCAATGATGGCCATGAGATTTTTCCTGGTGCCACATCTGTAGTTGGGGGCAAATATATGTGATTTGAAGACCATGTCCAGAGTGGTCCGATAAGTCAACTTTGGATTATTGTAGCTGTCATAGATGTGAAATCCAAAGGTAACATTGGGCAAGATTTGTGGATTCTCATTGATCTCCTTCACAGTGAAGACAAAGGAAAGGACATGCTGGTAAAATTTTATGATGAGACTGCAAGTAAGGAAAGTCTTCAGAAAACAAGTCTACGATGCATAGAACAGTATTGAAAAAAAAATAGTGATTTCTGCCTGTGATTGCAATTAAATTTTTTACAATATAGTGCCAGTATTTCTAATCTATTAAACATTTTTGGCTACAGTCTATGTAATACAGTATTTATGAATGGTTACATACTTCATTCACAGAGTGTTGCACCTAGTAACAAATGCTAATAATAAAGTTTTTAGGATTTTTAATGCAATATTCAATGGCAAGACTATGTTTTAAATGTATTCTACTTTTCACTTTACCTCTCCTAAACAAATTGTTGCAGGAATTGGGTATGGCCAGTATAAAGAAATGGAACTAGGGGTAACATGAAATAGGTATTCCAGTATTTGAGGAGCTGCCACAAAGAAGAGGGAGTCAACTTATTTATCCAAACAGATTTAACAGATAATCAGAATTGGAAGGGACCTTGTAGGTCATCTAGTCCAACCCTCCCCTGAAGCGGGAGACCCTACACAATTTCTGACAAATGGCAGTCCAATCTCTTCTTGAAAGTCTCAAGCGATGGTGCTCCCACAACTTCCGAGGGCAAGCTGTTCCATTGGTTGATTTTTCTCACTATCAGAAAGTTTCTCCTTATTTCTAGGTTAAATCTCTCCTTGTTCAGTTTCCATCCATTATTCCTCATCTGGCCTACAGATGCTTTAGAAAATACCTTGACCCCTTCCTCTCTGTGGCAGCCCCTCAAATATTGGAAGACTGCTATCATGTCTACCCTGGTCCTTCTCTTTACTAGACTAGCCAAGCCCAGTTCCTGCAACCGTTCATTGTATGTTTTAGCCTCCAGTCCCCTAATCATCCTGGTTGCTCTTCTCTGTACTTTTTCTAGAGTCTCAACATCTTTTTTATAATGTGGTGAACAAAACTGGATGCAGTACTCTAAGTGTGGTCTTACTAAGGCTTTATAGAGTGGTATTAGTACTTCCCTTGATCTTGACTGTATCCCTCTGTTAATACAATTCAGGATTGCATTAGCTTTTTTGGTGGCTGCTGCACACTGCTGGCTCATATATAGCTAGTTGTCCACTAAGACTCCAAGATCCCTCTCACAGTTACTGCTATTGAGCATGGTTTCATACTGCTATTGAGCCTGGTTAGATATGGCCCAGTGTTCTAGTCTGTCAAGATCCATCTGGATCTTGAGACTATCTTCTTGGGTGTTAGCTATTCCTGCCAGCTTAGTATCATCTGCAAATTTGGTAAGTTCTCCTTCTATTCCCTCATCTAAGTCGTTAATGAAGATATTGAAGAGTACTGGGCCTAAGACGGAATCTTGTGGCACCCCACTGCTTGCTTCCCTCCATGTAGACTTAGACCCATTAAGGATTACTCACTGAGTACGGTTTGCCAGACAGTTGAGAGTCCATCTAGTGGTGGTGCTATCTATTCCACTTTTTTCTAGCTTACTAAGAAGTAGGTTGTGGTCTACTTTGTCAAATGCCTTGCTGAAATCTAAATAAATTATATCCACAGTATTTTGCTGGTCTACTAATTTTGTTACTCTGTTGAAGAATGAAATAAGATTGGTTTGGCATGATCTGTTCTTAACAAACCCGTGCACCAGAAGGCAAGCCAAGAAACAATGAATGGAAACTGATCAAGGAGAGAAGCAACCTGGAATTAAGGAGAAACTTCCTGACAGTGAGGATCTGTTGGAAAAGCTTGCCCTAAAAAGTTGTAGGTGTTTCATCACTGGAGGTTTTTAAGAAAAGACAAGAAAACCACATGTCTGAAGTGATATAGAGCCTCCTGCTTGAACAAGGGGTTGGGCTAGAAGACTTCCAGGGTCTCTTCTAACTCTATCCTGATTGATTGAAGCTTAATTATTCATTCTGCTTTTCTTGCTAATTTCCGTGGACCTACAGAAGAATATACGAATAATGGAACAAGCTATCCCCTATTGCTTTGATTTCTGTAGCATCAGAGTTAGGATAATGCTGTAGGGAATAGAAGGGTGATGATACTGTGTAATAAAAGCTACTACATCTGTTAATTCAGACACCTGGCAGCAAACACAAATGCAAAAAGGAAAAGCAGAGCCTTATAGAAGCACTCAACAGGTTGACCTTCCCTGAACAGATAAAAAAGGCAAAATGTTGGAGAATAATCAGTTCCTACAGTAACAATAGCCCAGATTCAAATCATCCTGGCCCCAATGTCCACTCATTACAGTCCAAACTGGAATTTCAGAAATTGGCTTAAGAACCAACTAGAAACTGCAAGAGAGACCAACAGCTTAGGTTGCAGTGTGGAATTTCCTCAGAATCTTTGAGAAACTAATTCTACAGTGAATGACTTATTTGGGAATGAAGAATCCACATTTCTGCCGAATCACTGTTATAATTTAAGATAAAACACTTCAAATTTCAGATTGGTATTCCTTGAGCACCATGTTTTATGCTGCTTTCCTTTCTAAACTCCTTCAGCTATAATCTTTTAAGTTATAAATATCCCTGAAGATAAATCTCTAATTCTGTCTTTCAAATAAACTTAGTTTGAAGTTGGACGTTGAAGCTCTCTTTCTAACAAAATTACAACCCTGTAAATTCTATTCTTATTTTACTTAATAGATTGAAGATATCTTTTAATTTTTTTTTGTTTCATTTTATTAAATCCTTGTGTCTTAAAGAATGGTGACCTAGCAATTCATAGTTGTAACTTCAAAAAAGGCAATTATGATCTTATAGATAACGATCTCTCATCCCTCGATTGGCAATCTCTATTCACTGGATGCAATACTGTTGAAGATCATTATAACATATTTTTACTTGAAGTCAAAAGAGTCATCAAACTATATGTTCCAACAACAACTCCAAAAAAAAAAAAGCAGATTACCCATATCAATAAGGAAACTTCAATCCAAAAAGAGATCACTCTGGCGGAAAAACAAATCTGGTCACGTTGCTAATTTCAAAAACCGATATAAAAATTTATGCCACCAGATAAAGACCGAATGCACCAATTACCACATTAAACAAGAGGAAAACCTTCTAAGCACCAATTCCACCCGTGCTTTTTACAATTTTGTAAACAACAAACTAAAAGACTCAAGGTCCATCCCTCCCTTGATAGGACCTGATGGTAAAGACTGCAGCGACGACACCATTAAAGCCAACATCTTTAACACATTCTTCGGCTCAGTGTTTGTAAACAGTAATGGATCATGCCCAATGTTTCCTAGCCGTACCACAGACAACAATAATGATCTAATACATATCGATTTTACAGTAGACAACGTTGAAAAAGCACTACGCAACCTAAAACCATCTCTATCTATTGGACCGGATGGAATATGTGCCTACTTCTTAAGAAAACTATCCGCTGCCATAGCCAAACCTCTAAGCATAATCTTTGAAAGATCTTTCAGAACCAGCTCCTTGCCCAACCTATGGTTACAAGCCACAGTCATTCCCATCTTCAAAAAGGGAGACCCAAGCCTAGTTGAAAATTACAGACCAATCTCCTTATGCTGCGTCACCTGTAAAGTCATGGAATCAATTATTAACCAATCCATCATCCTCCATTTAGAGACAAACAACCTACTCTCCAATAAACAATTTGGTTTCAGAAAAAAACTATCCTGTAATCTGCAACTCTTACACTGCAAAAACATATGGACTACTCAACTCGACCAGGGCAAAGCAATAGACGCAATCTACATAGACTTCTGCAAAGCCTTTGATTCAGTGGTACACGACAAACTACTCCTAAAAATAAAATCTTATGGTATCTCTGGACAACTGAATAACTGGATAGAAGCATTCCTGTCAAACAGACAACAAATGGTCAAAATTGGGAACGCCCTATCAAATCCAGTACCTGTCAATAGTGGTGTTCCCCAAGGCAGGGTTCTAGGACCAACTCTCTTCATAATCTACATAAACGACCTTTGTGATCATATCAAGAGCAATTGCGTTCTCTTCGCTGATGATGTAAAGCTGTTCAATACCACAGACAATACTACTACCCTTCAAAAAGATCTAGACTATGTATCTGAATGGTCTAACATATGGCAACTCCAAATCTCAACAAATAAATGCTCTGTCTTACATATTGGTAAAAAAAATCAGAAAATAAAATACAAGCTGAATAGTCAAGATCTTGTTGATGACCCAAGCTCTGTAAAGGACCTTGGAATACTCACCTCTAATGATCTAAGTGCTAGAGCTCACTGCAACTACATAGCCAAAAAGGCATTAAGAGTTGTTAACCTAATCCTACGTTGCTTTTTCTCTGGTAATATCTCACTACTAACCAGAGCATACAAAACATTTGCTAGACCAATACTCGAATACAGTTCATCAGTCTGGAATCCTTATCACGTATGTGATATTAACACAATTGAGAAAGTCCAGAAGTATTTCACAAGAAGAGTTCTCCACTCTTCTACCCGTTATAGAATACCTTACGCCACCAGACTCGAAATTCTAAAACTAGAAAACCTCGAATTACGCCGTCTTCGGTCCGACTTAAGCATGGTATATAAAATCATACATTGCAATGTCCTACCTGTCAATGAATACTTCAGCTTTAACCATAACAACACAAGAGCACACAACAGATACAAACTCAAAGTAAACCGCACCAAACTTGATTGCAGGAAATACGACTTCAGCAATAGAGTGGTCAATGTCTGGAATACTCTACCCGACTCTGTGGTCTCTTCCCCAAACCCCAAAAACTTTAACCTTAGACTGTCTACTATTGACCTCACCCCTTTCCTAAGAGGTCTGTAGGGGGCGTGCATAAGCGCACCAACGTGCCTACCGTCCCTGTCCTATTGTTTCTCTTATTCTTTTATTTTTCTTATATGTACCCATTTCATATATTCACAACTATGTATACACTTGTACTTATTATCTTGTAAACAATTGACAAATCAAATAAATAAAAAATAAATAAATAAATATTCGCCCTATTCCTAAAAAAACAAAATGAAGTATCTTAAAAGTCTTATTTAGCCCACAGCTCAAAA